TGACATACTTTGAGATCCGTTTGATCTCAATCGATACTGGATTAAAAACTGTTATGGTATAAATTCTTTTCTTTTCTAACTTAACTGATTGAAAACATACTTACCGGCAGATAGTACCAGGTTGAGATGGATTTTTATCAATGTAAGGTGCTATGCATTCACATCTGAAGCCATTGTTAGTATCAATACACTTCGCATTTCGATCGCAATTATTCAAAGTTTGAGATTCACATTCATTTAATACTGAAAATATCTTTTATTGCATTACAATTTAAAAATCAAAAAGAAATCTAAATGATTCATTTGCACTGATTTTTTTGTCCAAAAAGCACTAATTTAAACGTGCTTGAAAGATCGAATTATTTATACTTTTTGTTTATATGTTTACGAGAAGGACTACTTTAAAATTCCTTTGCAACACAGAAATACAATATTTTGAAGAGTTACCAACGGAAGATATTGATTCTGCGGGTGCAGATGCAAAATTCATAACAAAGATAATGTTTTTGCTTATTTCTTGTGAGATTACCAGTTAAATTTTATTTATAATTATTAATCTCAACTGCCGAAGTCATATTAAAAACAAGTAACATGTACTTGAGGATTAAAAAGTTAGTAAAAGTGTAAAATACGCATACTAAAAGTGCAGTCAGTTCCAGGCTTGTAAGGATTATTATCGTGGTAACCAGGCTTACAACGACAAATATAACCATCTTCTTGATCGATACAATCCGCAAAACGACTACAGTTATGTAAATTTGGATTGCTGCATTCGTTTACAGACTGCAAATTTGTTGCAATATTATAAAAGAATTACTTTCACTAACATTCTATTTTTTTTAAAATTTAATCAGTATACGAAAATAAACAGTGGAATATAATCTTTTGTAAATATTTTTGAGAATTGAATCAGAATAGATCAATTTAGGGTTCTTATAAATTTTCCTAATTTTCTCCTTTTAAAAAACTGTTTAATCACAATCAGTTTTGCTTTTTAAAAGATTCTTCTATTTTTCAAAACTTTGCTCATCAAAAGATTCAAAAAAATTTTTAGTTCATGGAACTAAAAAATTGTGTGAATTTTTTGAAACAAACAGTAATGAAAAAAGCGAAATATGAAATTATGCAGACTATTGAATTCATTTTAAAATACTGTTATTATTGTCGGCAAATAGAAGAAATTTGTATGAAAATAACTTTTTTAAAAATAATTGAATAATTAAACTTACAATAGAACATATACGACCAGGCTTACTCTGAGGATCAGGAGAAATATCTTTGGAATTTGATGGACACGTACAAGTATATCCATGAGTTAAATCATGACACGTAGATATTTGATCACAATCATTCAATGACTGATCCAAACATTCATTTACCAGTTCTTTGCAATCTCTTCCTGAATTTTGGACTTTAGTTTGTAACAAACATCTTCAAATTAATGGTGCAATTTATACCTTTTATTGTTACCTTATTTTTTTTGTGCTGGCAAATAAAGTATCAAAATTTTGAGACAAGTAGTGAATATGGTGCAATACAATAATAAAACAAAATTGTTATTAAAGATTTGAATGATTCTTCAATTAGCTATTTACAGAAACTGTATGACACTTTCTCGCTTATTCTATTTTATCATTCATTTCATTTTATGCATATTATACTGAATCTTAGTTTTTTTTTTGATTCTATTACTTAAATAAAGGATCAAAAACTACGTAAAAAGCAAATATGCTTTACATAGCAACTAAAATAAATTGAACCTGGCTTGCTTGGATTCATATCGATATAGCCATTGCGGCATGAACACGTATAACGTTCGCTTCCAGCAACTTCAGTACATGTAGCAGCTTGATGGCAATCATGTTTTCTTGGATCGTTGCAAATATATTCTACACAAATTCGACCTGAAATAGTTTATATAAATGAAATATAACCTTCTTTCAAAATTAGTTTACGTGGGCATCAAAATTTTGAGATTGCATTGATTTTCTTTCTAATTTAAAATGTCAATTTTAATGAAAAATATATACGTAACTAAGTTTTATTTGACCACTTTTTTATTGTAATTTTTTCTGCAACTACCAATAATATTAACTTTCTAAATGAATGCTACCAATAAAAAGTAACTTATTCATAAGCAATTTCAAGCGCAATCTGACTTAATTCCAACTAGTTTTTGAGTTTTTAAGCAGAAAACTGACCAGATTTGGCAGGTTCTGGACTTTTGTCGATAAAACCTGGATCACAGACACAAATATATTCATTGGTACCTTTTTCAATGCACTTTGCATTTTTATCACAATCATTTTGACCAGTTGAGCAAAGACGGTTTGCTAGAAAATTAGCACGCAAATTAATTTGCTTTGAAACTTATAAGACATTTTTTTGCATCTTATGTAAATATTAGGATATCAGCGTGCTATCACATTTCTTGACTTCACTTAAGTGAGACATCTTAATGCAAAATTATTAAAAAACTTGCGAATATAATCATTAGTTAAAGAAATCTATTTCTCTATTAGATTTTACAACCATACATGAATGGAATTCTTCATATTTTGTAATTTCAAATTGAAAAGCTTTTATAAAATCGTGTGGATGAAAATTCAAAGCGAGCGAAGAATTTAAGTAATGCTTTTTTCTTAAATAAAATTCATCACTTAAGACAAATTTTTACTTGATTGCATAAAACATATAAAAAATATAAGTGATTGGCAATATTAAGACTACTCTCTTTTTTTTTGTGATTTAAATTACTTATGTCTCTGAAAAAAATTATTGAAAAACCATCATGAACATGAGTTTTTTCGTCGAGTTTTATCTAATAACTTTTCTATTGGCTAAATTACTGAATTAAATCAAGATTAAATTATTAGATATTCATATTGATATAGACTCTTTTAAAGATAAATTATCAAATTTATATAATTATAATCTAAGTACCTTTTTCGCAGATTCTTCCGGGATTTCTCAATTCGTCATGATCAATAAAGCCTTGCTTACACTGGCACTTATAGCTTTCCTTTGTATCAATACAAACTGCATTTTCACTGCATGTATTCAATGATTTGTCGGCACATTCATCAACGAATGGTTTGCAAATTGTACCACCAAAATATTGTGGATTGGGACTGAAAGTTATTGCTTCATAAAAATTCCGCTTTGTTATGAATATTTCAATGTGATTACTCAGCCAGGCGTCAAATGTGATAAAAGTCTGAAGTTAATTCATTTGTTCACAATTACTTGAAACCAAACTGATATCAGAAATCAGAACGATAAATGCATTTGCATCAATTTTTTGAAATGAAATTCTGTAACTTTCAATACAACAAAATGTCAAAATTTTCTAAGTCTAACTTCAAATCATTAATTTATTCGCAGATATTCACCTGAAATCAATGTAATTTTCTTTGCATCGACATAAAAACCCATTAGGTAAGTCAATGCAAATCGCATTTGCCGAGCAGTTGTGAATTCCTTTCGCACATTCATCTATTTCTGTAAATTAGATTAATTATTCAGTTATGAGATATTTTTGCTATTTCTATCTTCATTTACTATAAAGCATTGAAATAAATATTTTTTCTAATATTTACTTTGATAGTAATTCATGCAGGGATTATATTTCTGATAAAATAAAAGTCGGTTAAAGTTTTAAGCGTGAAAATTTTGTGGCAAGATTTACTTTTATGATAGAAAAAATAAATGTCTTACGTTGACGACAAATTCTGCCAGGTTTTTTTGACTGATTAGGACTTTCATCGATGTAACCTTCGAGGCACGTACAAATGTATCCGTCATCAGTATCTACGCATTTTGCGTGTTCATCACAATCATGTTTTCCAGTAGCACATTCATCAATCACTGCAAAAATTTACATACTGTAAGAAAGTGATGAATTTGATGTACATATTTGTGAAATTTTTTTAAAAGACACCAAAAAGTGTGATGCTTGACGTGTTAGGCTCACTGGAATTGAAGCAATATCTCACACAGTTGGTTCGTAAAGTTAATGTATTTGTAAGTTAGCATTAGTTTAATATTGTATTTATCAAAATTTGCAGTTTTTTAATGGTTTTTGAACGCACACTTATTTGATTCATGAAGTTAGTGCTTACAATTTTACGTTATTCAAAAAATATCATATTTTTCCTTATTTTGCATAGAAACATTTTTAAGCCACAAGTAATGCTTCAAATACTCTAAGCATTCATTTTCTTTGCACTATTTGTAAGTGCTTTCATAAAAATGCACATGATAAGGTATCTTTATTGACGTAGTCAAAAATCTTACTAGAAGATTTCAATTTCTTCATCGAAAACTTAAGCAGTGCAAATTTGTATCATGTATGAAAATTTGCTTAAAGCTTACAGCAGATATGCGTGATTGGATGTCGATGGTAATTTGCAGCACACTGACAAGTGAAGTGTCCGTGACCATCTGGAAGGCATTCTTCGCGTCTACGTTCATCACATGAATTGGACAAATACGGCTCACAAGTTTCAATACTTTGACATCTACCACTTGAGTCTACTTTGTAACCAGGCCTAGAATTACTTTAAATCAACAATAAATAAATAAATTTTGTCTCAGTAGAAACGGACAATTGCCAAAGTAATTAGAATTTGGTGAGAAAATGTTATTTAATTGGAAAGAACTTAAATTATTTCTAGGATTTTGTGAAGACTTAATGCGTTTCAATTAAATTATTTAAAAATAAGTGAAGTTGCGATATACTTTTTTCATAATAATCTAAATTTATTAACACGCACTTCTCACATAAAATAATGATTTTTTAATTATTTTATTGAAATTTAAAAAGATAAATTACTTACAAGCACTGACAAATTCGTTTCCCTAAATATGACATTGCGCAGTATTCATTTTGTTGGCACTGTTTTGAATCAGTGCACGCGTCCACGCTTGGTATCGTACTTGGCATTGAAGGTGATGATGAATATTTACTCACTGTAAGTATTTACTGTGTTGGCTAAACAAGTAGTTTTTGCAGTTAGTCATGATAAGCTATTGCTTTTAAAGTCAGAAACTTTTAACAAGAAAATTTTTAAATCAAATTATTTAGATTTATTTTAATAATTCGTTTTCTGGCAGTACTGAAAATAATTTAGTACAATTAAAAAGAAATTTTATTAATTTATTTAATAGTAAGTCGTTTTAATGCTTCACACAATGTACGAAATTTTCATAATTTCTTGGATAAAAAATTTTTTTCAGAAATTTTGAAAAATTAATTACTTTATCAAGCATGAAGATGTAATGAATTATCACAAATTAAACACTTTTAAATTCAAAAAGATTTCACTGATAAAACTCTAAATTTTTCCTTCATCGTAACTAACAGTATGAGTGAAATGAATGCTCCGTCTAAGTATTACTTTGAAAAAAGTTATCTGCAAAACTTACCAGAAAAACGCTCATATTTTCTTCTGATCAAAATTCTTGCTTTGCAATTGAGAAATTTTTCCTATTTTTCATTTTAAAAACTACTCAAAATAAGCATGTTGAAACAACTTTTTTTTGGGATAAAACAAACCACAAAGTCCAGATTTTATATTTCGCTCAAAGTTTGATGGACATGTACATCTATAATTTCCATGTGGTGTTAATTGGCATATCTCAGGGCTTGGACATGAAGAAACAATTTGTGGATTGCATAAATCGCCACCACAAACCTCAAATTAACAATTCTTACTTTAAGAATTTGCTGATTCATAGTAGATTACTATAATGCTAATATTTCAGTGTTCATAATCTAACAATATACATGTGTAATTGGATGCTGCTCGAATTGTTCAGGACAAATACAACACAGTTTTCCACTTTTTAGTGCACATATTTGATTCAGTGATCGATCACAACCTTCATGATTTGCTTCCTCGCAACTTACTAACAATAACATATT